GGGAGAGGTTTTTTCTCCTAGAATAAGAAGCGTTTTTCTCCATGGAATAAGGGAGAGATTTTCTCCTTGAGATGAGGAGATTTTTTCTAGAATGATGCGACACTTTCTCCATGGAATAAGGGATAGATTTTCTCCACTAAATAAGGAATTATTTTTTTTATTGTGTATTAATTTCAAAATAGAAACAAGTGCAGAAAGTTAGAATGATGATCTAGTCATATTACACCAAATAGGACTTCATAGAATATTAAAAAAGAATATAAGTTAGATGGAACATAGGTCTTTAAGAATCGGATTTGCTAAAAAAGAAACCTCCCATTTGAGCTTCAATGAGACTTGTAAGAATATTTATAAGAAATAATACCTAACGAAAATAAATGGATTTGGGCATACCTTTTTTACTCAAACTGAATTTATGGATTATGTAGGTGAATCATGTACAATAGTAAGGTAGAACTATTAGAGAATTACCCAAGCTATTCATAGTACAAAGGTTATTATGTGTTTCTATGGAGAGAGAAGAAAAATAGAGAAGACTCTAGGAGACTGATACAGTTAAAATTATCCACAACTCTATCTCTTCAACAGATGAGATAGTGAGCCAATCACACTTATCCCCAAGATAAGTTAATCCAAGTCCACTTTGACTAGGTCTTTATGAGCCTTGGGTCATGTCACCATGAACGACCGAATCGGGGTGAGGTTCTAAACCCGACCCAAATTCTAACAAGACTAAACACTAAAATTGCCTTCATAACCAAGATTAAAAAGTCTAAAAGTTAAATATGTATTGAATTCATGGAAAACTACATTATTTACCGATGAAGATGTTTTTAAAATTTGACATCGATAAAAGTTAAAACCTATTTGCCTTTAATCCTAGTGACGCCAATATATGGTTGATTGCGATCCAACCCCAAATTTCAGGAGGATTTGTTATTTTTTACACCACAAGTATTTTTTGCATGTTATCAAACGTTAAGGGCTGGTTTTATTTTATATTGTTCTTTATCTTCCATTTACAATAAAAACGTTTCATATTTCTAATCACTTAGATATACACATGAAATAAGAAGAAGAAATGTAATACTTGGCAATATTCTTGACCAGAAGATTGAGAATCTGTAAGTAGGGACGGACGCAGGATTCTAATATTGGGGGGGCGAGTGTATATGCAATCAAAAAATGTGTAATGAGCATGTGATATACAATATCAATTTCTACTCAAATATCACAAAAATATATAATTAGATGTTCCATTCATCATATATAATTACAAAATATTATCAAAATATAATTGGATATGTTCTAATAAATCCATATTAATTTTCAAAAAAGCAACTATTTGCTTTACATATCTACTTAGGCATCTAAAGTTGTACTCGACGTTCTTTCATAATATAAAAATCATTTATGATGGAATCTACATCAAAATCTCGAGCAATGTCTTTGTCAACATATGTTAACAAGTAGCTTGAAAGAAAATCATTCTCCATCCTGTTACGCAATCTAGTCTTTACAATTTTCATGACTAAAAATGCACGTTCTATTATCGCCGTAGAAACTGAAGAAAATGCACCCTTGACCACGAATATTTTGTACGTTTTGCGAATTCTTTTCCAGCTTTCATATCTCACACACACACACACACAGAGAGTAAAGTGGAGAAAAGGGCTTAAACAATTAGGTTAATAAGAATTTGGGAACATTTTCAAGCGTGAGACAGGTTACACGTGAGTAGTATTTTTATTTTTTTTATTTAGTTATAACCAAACAATTAAAAAATTTGGTCCTAATCAGACAAAAAGACTTCAACATATTAACAAGTAAATTCTCAATTATTTTAACATCACTGAATTTAAAATAAAAAGTAATTATACTTAAAAAAATTATTATTATTATTATTTTTAGTATTTATCAAAAAATAATTAAATTTTTAAATTTTAAAGTCGAAAATTTAGGGGTGGTGGTTCTTAAATTTTTTGCAAAAATTTTGGAGTGGCGAACCTATATAATTTTAAAATATTTGTAATTTTAATACTATATCTAAGGGATATTTTCAAAACTTTGGGGGGTGCCCCCCCGCCCCCCAAAAAAAAAAAAGTTTTGAAAGAAAATCATTTATGATGGAATCTACATCAGATCATTTATCATGGAATCTACATCATGAAAGAAAATCACTTTGGGGGGTGCCCCCCAAAGTTGTACTCAACGTTCTTTCATAATATAAAAAGCATTTATGATGAAATCTATATCAAAATCTCGAGCAATGTCTTTGTCAACATATGTTAACAAGTAGCTTGAAAGAAAATCATTCTCCATCCTGTTACGCAATCTAGTCTTTACAATTTTCATGGCTAAAAATGCACATTCTGTTATCGCCGTAGAAACTGAAGAAAATGCACCCTTGACCACGAATATTTTGTACGTTTTGCGAGTTCTTTTCCAGCTTTCATATCACACACACACACACAGAGTAAAGTGGAGAAGCGGGCTTAAAGTGGAGAAAATGGCTTAAACAATTAGGTTAATAAGAATTTGGGGACATTTTCAAGCGTGAGACAGGTTACACGTGAGTAGTATTTTTATTTTTTTTATTTAGTTATAACCAAACAATTAAAAAATTTGGGTCCTAATCAGACAAAGACTTCAACATATTAACAAGTAAATTCTCAATTATTTTAACATCACTGAATTTAAAATAAAAAGTAATTATACTTAAAAAAATTATTATTATTATTATTTTTAGTATTTATCAAAAAATAATTAAATTTTTAAATTTTAAAGTAGAAAATTTAGGGGGTGGTGGTTCTTAAATTTTTTGCAAAAATTTTGGAGTGGCGAACCTATATAATTTTAAAATATTTGTAATTTTAATACTATATCTAAGGGATTTTTTCAAAACTTTGGGGGGTTCCCCCCCCAAAAAAAAAAAAAGTTTTGAAAGAAAATCATTTATGATGGAATCTACATCAAATCATTTATCATGGAATCTACATCATGAAAGAAAATCACTTTGGGGGGTGCCCCCCAAAGTTGTACTCAACGTTCTTTCATAATATAAAAAGCATTTATGATGGAATCTACATCAAAATCTCGAGTAATGTCTTTGTCAACATATGTTAACAAGTAGCTTGAAAGAAAATCATTCTCCATCCTGTTACGCAATCTAGTCTTTACAATTTTCATGGCTAAAAATGCACATTCTGTTATCGCCGTAGAAACTGAAGAAAATGCACCCTTGACCACGAATATTTTGTACGTTCTGCGAGTTCTTTTCCAGCTTTCATATCACACACACACACACACACAGTAAAGTGGACAAGCGGGCTTAAAGTGGAGAAAAGGGCTTAAACAATTAAGTTAATAAGAATTTGGGGACATTTTCAAGCGTGAGACAAGTTACACGTGAGTAGTATTTTTATTTTTTTTATTTAGTTATAACCAAACAATTAAAAAATTTGGGTCCTAATCAGACAAAAAGACTTCAACATATTAACAAGTAAATTCTCAATTATTTTAACATCATTGAATTTAAAATAAAAAGTAATTATACTTAAAAAAAATTATTATTACTATTATTTTTAGTATTTATCAAAAAATAATTAAATTTTTAAATTTTAAAGTAGAAAATTTAGGGGGTGTTGGTTCTTAAATTTTTTGCCAAAATTTTGGGGTGACGAACCTTTATAATTTTAAAATATTTGTAATTTTAATACTATATCTAAGAGATTTTTTCACATCTAAATCCACTTCCTTAAAACATCCTTATATCTTCCGGAGGCATGCTTAAATAAAGTTAGCACTATAATTATTATTTTTCAACTGTCAAAAAAGAAATATATTGATGTAAAATAAAGAGCACTACACAGATACATGTCAATACATACATGAATAATAATAAATAAATAAAAACAAAGACAGCTGCAAAACAAAGCTGAAAAATCACAGATTAATCTAACTGAACAAAAACAGCACCTTGGCTAAGGACCAAAAATAATAAATAAAAAAATAAATAATTGGGCAAGAAATTAAACCCATTGAAGTGCCATAAAAGGGAGCAAAATAATCTCAATAATCACTAGCTCCCTCCTAGAAAGGCGGCCAAACACAGACCTGGTAGAGTCCTAAAGACACTACAAAAATTTGCACTTTTGCCGACTAAAAATTTAGTCAGTAAAAGTCCATTTTTAATCGGCAAAAATTATCCGCGACTAATTTTTTTGATCACCAATTGAGGGTCACGGAAAGTAATTAGCGACTAAAAAATTTTTTAGTTACGAAAAAATTATATTTGCTGACTAAATTTTTAGTTGCTAAATATATAATTATTGCGACTAATCCATTTAGTAGCTAAAATACTTTAGTCGCGAAAAGTCATATTTTTCCGACCAAACATGTTAGTCGCCAATTCGCACATTCAATGACCAAATAGTTTGGTCGGCAATTGTGGCCCATTTCCAAGACCAACAAATTTGGTCGCCAATTGTCACATTCCGCGACCAACAAGTTTGGTCGGCAAATGGTACATTCCACGACCAACAAGTTTGGTTGGCAAATAGCACATTCCACAACCAAAAAGATTGGTCGGCAATTGTCACATTCCACCACCAAAAATGTTAATCGTAAAAAAGAATATTTACGCAACTAAAACTTTAGTCGGCAATTGACCTATTAGCAACGAATTCCTTTTTCGTCGCCAAAATTAATGACTTTAATGACTAATTATTTAGTCGGCAAAAGTATTAATTATCTTTCCCAACTAATCAATTGGTCGCCAAAACAAAACAAAAAAAACAAGATCAACATTTGGTCGCCAACATCCAACAAAATAAACCTATAATTCATAATAATTCATCCAATCCACTCAATATAATATGTAATTTACAAGCATCATTCAAATCAATTGAATCATGAACATTCGACAAAATATAAATCATCTAAACTGAACCTGTTTAATGGAAGTCATCAACTATTATAATTTTTCATCCACAAGTAATTTCAAACTACATATTCCTCCAATTAAAAATCCACTTGTAATCTATATAATCATCCAAGTCACATCCATCTAACATAATAATTTAAAACATAACAATTAGTTGTTATTATGTTTTAAATTGTTATCCATGCGCATCTATCAAAAAATATACACACTAGTAGTCTATCCAAATATTTTCCATACACATTCATCCAAAAAATATAACTACTAGTCTTTCCAAAAATATAACTACTAGTCCACCCAAATCTTTTCCATACACATCTATCCAAAAATATATATTCCTTTCAAAAAAAGCTTATAGTGCCAATCAGTCATGTACAATTTAGCTTTGTGCACGAGATAATCCATCTGTACCAAAGAAAATGAGAAATAATGTCAGGTAAATTTTTGTTGAAAATATTTGCACAGCACTTTATTGTAAAATTGGACAAAAAATATAAATTCTACATGGAAAGTAAAGAAAACATTAACAAATTAAATGACTATCAATACCATTTTGTAAATAAAACATCATTCATATGTATATATCAATTCTAACTATTGTTCCACGATATGCCAATATTGACCTATGTTTCAACAATGGAAACTAAGGCCTCGTTTGGAAACCCTCTCTTTTAGCTAAAAAGTCAAAAAGTTACTAAATTAGCCAAAAAACAACCCATACCAAAAAGTCAAAGATTCTCTTTTCTCTCTACTTTTTGCACATCTTTTCGTAAAAAACCAAAAAGTCATCCCAAACATACTAGTTTTTTTTAGCTCATATTTTAGCCAAATAGTCAAAAAGTTACTAAATTAGCCTATTCCCAAACGGAGCCTAAGTTAAAATAGTCTTTCTAATTCTAAATAGTGTATATGCTTTGGTTGAACTTTTACTTGGAGGAGGGTAAGTGTGAGAGCGGAGTGGAAGATACGAGGTTAGGATTATCACCACAAGCTCCAGCAAAACCATTTAAACAGGTAGAACTACTAATCAGGAAATGTGCTTAGACTAGTCAAATTTCTTCATATTCACAGCCTGAACAAAGCATTTTAAAAACCATTTAAACAGGTAGAACTACTAATCTACACTCCAACTACTAATCTAATACTTCAGGAAAAATCAAACGTCTACTGAATCTACCTTATTGGTATAAATAGTCCAATTAGTAAGTAGCTCAGATAGCATCGCTCCAAGAAGTCCAAATAGAGCACCAGAAGCACCACAAGAAATTCTGTGTTGAATGAGAAGGGCAGAGAGTATGCTCCCACCAAATCCTGACAACAGGAAGATTGCCCCAACTCGCACTGACACATACCAAAAATAATAAATTAAGAAAGAAGAAGAAGATTATATGGATGTAAGAGAAACATAGCAAAATTGTTGAGACAGTAACACTGCAGGAACAAGAACCTCACAATGGATCAATTATGGTGGAACAGGGTGCCCATATCCATGTGGTAAATTAACTATGCTTTTATTAGATTTTTTTGGCAGAAATGCATCCAACTATGAGAAGCCATTGAAAGGCATGCTTGCTAAAAAGGAGAGTGAAAAATGAAAAGAAAGTCTACTGCATAATGCTAAACACTACAATTGTCACATAATACTCAAAGGGACTCATTTTGAAGCTCAGCAAAGATTTCATTCCCATAGGACACCCTAAACACCCACATCTCCATCTCTTCAACAAGTTACTGTGGAAAAGTATAATAAAACTTCTTTTTCACATACTAATTTGAATTAGGGACAAGTTTAGGCTTCAGCAAGATGAAATAACATAACATACCAAACCCAAATTGCTGTTCAAATCGGATCCCAATAAATACCAAGCTCAACATGTTTGCTAGCAGATGAATAACACCAGCATGCAACCAGATACAAGTGATAAGTCTCCATGCTTCATGTCCATGTACTACCTTGTCCCACTCTAAAGGTCCCAATTTTTCCAATCTGCAAAAGTAAGGGTAGATTGAAAATTAAGAATATCCACAAGTCTGCAGCTACAATTTTATTTATTCACAGTAAAAGAGAACAATAAATTTTGCTTGGTCTGGGGGGGAGCATAAGAGTGAACCCTATGCATATACAAATCATTGAATTCCAGTATATATATTACCACCTCTACACAAATGTAGTACAAGAATGAAAATATTTCCCAGTTTCTTCCTATTGAAGTCATGTTCTGTGATACATTTTCGACAGTGGCAGTTAAAACAATTAGATTTTATGATTACAGCTAACTCGGAAATTGAAATTAAGAAAGAGAAAATGGAAATATTGAGAAAAAAAATGTGATGAGAATATCATCACATCCACAAAAGTTTCCCAGCAAGAAACCACAATATCTCATTTGTGATGAGAATATCATCACATCCACCAGTTCTGGCCAAGAAAATGCATCATAAACTAACCTAATTGGATGATGACTCTAAAATATCTCATTTATCAATTTCTTTTTCAGAATAGTTGCAATTACTAAAACAGCCATAGTTGCTGTCAAACTTCCGATTGGTGTTACATCTAACTTCATCCTAATGTATTCATTTCTTATTTTATTTTTTCTTCTAACACTACTCATCCATCTCAATATTCTCATTTCAATTACACTCATTTTCAAAGCAGGTCTTATAGCAATCCTAAAAAAATTTTCCCTTCAACTTAATAGGAATTCTACAATTAAACAACACTCCTATTGCTCTCCTCCATTTTTTTCATCCCGTTCTAATTCTATAAAGCAAGAATGTGAAGCATAGATCCAAAGAAACTAACCATATAATGACAAGAATAACAATATTAATCAAATCATAAATGTGCATACATTTAGTCTTATCAACTGAAAGCCTAATTTATTATGCATGCAAATCACATATTGAAACAAAGAAACTAACCATGGTTGCCTGGGGGAAAACACCTAGCGAATGATGACCAACATTATCATATAATGACAAGCACCATCTTTTCTTTGCACGCGGGGAGTAGTACTCTGCGACAAACTTCCTCCAGTAGGCAATAGTATGGGTCTGTTAAATTAAATAGTGCCATGACAAAGTCAGGCCAAAACATAGAGCTCAATCAAAATTATGTATCTAAATGAACAAAGATTGAGTATGTTTATAGCCAAACAAACAGGAAAATGTCTGAACAGATCCAAAGTGGAGAAAGAATAAACAAGCTAGATGTAGTCAACAAGTAATCAACTCACAGGGGGTCGTTGCCGCTGATGATATAAATATTGCATTAGCCGACAAGAACATACACCATTATCACTGGGCCGCTTTATGGAAGACATAGGCTGCATACCCTGTTGTTGAAGTTGTTGTCTCAACTGCAGCTGCTGCTGCTGCTGCTGCTGCTGTTGATGTTGTTGCAGTATGTGAGCTCGCTGCACTGGTGGTATAGACTGCAGAAACTGTTGCTGCTGTTGCCGCATTCTCTGCTGCTAAATTAAAGCTTGCAACTGAGGATTGTGGGTTTGTAATTGCATGGATTCCTGTCGCTGCAGTAGTTGTTGCAGAACCTGCTGTTGCATAATGTCTTCCTGCTTGATTTCCAATCGGGGTTTTTTCTGCAGCTGGGCTATATTATTGGGATCCTGTATGAAAGAGCCAGGGACATGTGGGCCAGGGAGAAGTGAAACTTGGCCCATTCTTGACGTGGGCAACGATGTAGCACTGGAAGCCCCTTGCTGCTGCTTACTTTGTGGCACCTGTTGGGAGCTTGGGTCTTGATTGGAGCTCTGCTGCACTACAGAGGAGCAGTCCATAACTGAAGAACCTGAAATGCTTATATAGGTGTGGAAGCATAAAAAATCAGATTCAATTAAATCATATCAGTTCTCAAGGTCTAAGCCTCGTGATGCTAAATGGCACAGCCAGTTTAGCCTTCGGCCTAGTTTTTAATGTTCAGAAAATGGGGAAAAAATGACACAGCCAGTTTGATATTTTTTTACTTTTAGCGGGTAGACGCTATTCATCTCCAATCAACACCATCTAAAAAACCACAAAGCAAGATAAATATCAATCCATTTTTAATCGATTACAGGCAACCAATGTGAAGCAAATTGGCATGGAACAACATTTTTCTAAGTTGAGCTTGTCTTTGACTTATTATAAAGTCTTGAAAGCCCAGATACTGGTTTGAACTCAACAATATAAAACACAATTTAAATCAGCTTTGTTACACAGTTTCAGAGCAAACCCAACTTCATACAAATACAAGGCAATTAAATCAAAATGTTTAATCTCAGATCATGCTTTTTATACCACATTTAAAATAAATACTTGGGGCTTTCAATTGTTTAGGAAAGGAAGGTTTGAGGAGGGGTTTCAAGAATGGATTTCGCAGATATAGAGGTAAAGAGGGGAAGAGTGAAGGAAACCATTTGCCCACTACATGAATGGCGGTGGCTGGGTTGATTTAGAGGCAGGTTTGTGTGAAGAAGGTATGCGGATGAAAGAAGAAAAAAACCCTAGAGGCCGAAATTAGGGGAACAAAGATAGAGATATAGAGACACACATATATATATATATATATAGAGAGAGAGAGAGAGAGAGAGGACATACCTTGGCTAGTGCCCCAATGATGGATCGTGACTACGAGATAAGATGATATAGGCTGTTGGTTTGCGATGGTCCTCATGTGCGACGGGCGTCGACGCCGATGGTGCTCCTGTACCAACGGCGATGGAGACAAAAGCGAAAGAGAGAGAGAGAGAGAGAGCTGGGCAGATGCGAGAGACAGAGACAGTCGCAGACAGAGAGTCACAGCGTGAGAAAGAGACGAACATGTTTTTAAGCCCTAAGTCATAGAGAACAATCTGATTGGTTTAAACAGAGAACAGACGGGTGAAATTATTTGGTTTCCCTCTAAAGGCAAGACGAAGTTTCGAAAGGTTCAAAAAGTCAAAAAGTTATTATTATTTATCAAAAGTTAATAATTACGGTTGCATAACTTTCAATTTTAATTTTTTTCTACAAACTAATTTTTACAATTTTTTATTACACATTTTTTCATAAAAAGTCAAAAAGTTAACCCAAATATTCATATTTTCAACCTCAATTTTTTAGTCTAAAAAGACAAAAAGTGCACTTATTTAGGACACCCCAAATAATCCCAAAATTTCCAAGTCTTTGGCGACAAAATTAAATTTTGGTCGGCAAATGTTATTATCTGTGACCAAAATATTAAAAAAAATTTGCTTAAAATATTAAAAAAATTCATTCAAAACATTAAAATACGAAAAATAAAAAAATAAAATTTTCTGAAAACTGGAAACAAACAAATTGAATGCTATTTGTAACTAGTGTATCATGGATAATACAAAAAAATATATGGATATAAGCCTTAAAATAAATTATATAATGATAAATTATTTTTTGATACAAAATTTGATTAAAAAATCAATATAATGATAACACCATATCATCATTAATATGTGATATCACCCACTGATGGTAAATAATAGAGAGTGAACCTCACATATCAAATGTAACTAACAATCTAATAAATTTCATATATTTATAGTGAGATTATTTATACTTGCATATCACTAATAATGACATCGCCGTTACATTCAAAAAAATTCATAGCTAATATGGTTTATTTATAGTAGTCTCTTCATTTTCAATCAAAATAACCATTATTGTTCTCATAATTTTTGTGGCCAAATTTTTTTTTGTTACTAAAAATTAAGAACTAATTTTTTGTGGTAAAGGAGAGGGAGCGACAGTAATGGTGAAGGTGGTGGATAAGAGGTGATGGTGATGGTGGTGGTGGTGATGATGGCAAAGGACATTAGTGGTGAAGTTGTGGTAGTGGTAGAGCAGATGGAGTAGCAATGGTAGATAAGAGGTAATAGTAATAGTAATGGTGGTAGTGGTAGTGGAGTGGTAGCGATGGTGGTAGTAATGGTAGTCGTAGAGGTGGAATAGCAACAATGGTAATAATACTGGTAGTGGAATGACATTTGCAGTAGTAGTGAATGTGGTAAAGGAGATGGGTGGTGAGAAAGAGATGAGTGAGAGAGAGAGAGAGAGAGAGACAGAGAGACAGAGTGATGAATGAGAGAGAGACAAAGTGATCGCTAAAAGTCCATTTTCTTGTAGTGAAGAGCTTGGTAAATAGAGAAGAGGGGAGGGAGAGAGTGAGCAAGGTGAACACAATAGAGGAGAGAGACAGACAGACACACAGAGAGAAAGAGAGAGAGAAGAGTGACAGACAGACATAGAAAGAGAAAGAGGGGGAGAAGAGTGATGAGTGAGAGAGAAAGACAGAGAGACAGAGAGAGAAAGAGATAGAGACAAAGACAGAGAGAAACAGGAGATGAGTGAGAGATAAACAAATAGAGAGAAAGAGAGCGAAAAGATATGATCGAGAGAAAGACATAGAAAAAGAGAGAGATAGAGAGAGAAGAAAGATGAGCGGAAGAGAGAGAGAAAGAGAAAGAGATAGAGAGAAAAGAGATGAGTGAGAGAGATAGAGAAAGAAAAAAGATGAGAAAGATAGAGGGAAGAGAGATGAGCGAGAGATAAAGAGAAAAAGAGACAGAGACAAAGATAGACAGACAGACAGAGAAGAGTAATGAGTGAGAGAGAGAGAGAAAGAAGAGAGAGAGAGAGATAGAGAGTGAGAGATAGAAAAAGAGACAGACAGAGAGGAGAGATGAACGAGAGAGACATAGAGAGAGATAGAGAGAAGAGAGATGGGCGAGAGATACATAGAGAGAAGAAAGATGAACAAGAGAGACAGAGAGAGAGAGATAGAGAGAAGAGAGATGAGCGAGAGAGACAGAGAAAGAAGAAAGATGAGAGAGAGCGAGAGAAGAGAGATGAGCAAGAGAGATAGAGAGAAAGTAGATGAACGAAAGAGACAGAGAGAGAAAAGAGACGAGAGAAGAGATAGATGAGTGAGAGACACAGAGAGAGAGAGAGAGACAGATAAACAGACAGATAGACAGAGAAGAGTGATAAGTAAGAGAGAGAAAGAGAAGATAGAGAGGAAGATAAAAAAAATGGGTGAAAAGAGACAGACAAAGAGAGAGAGAGAGAAAAAGAGCGAAAAAAGATAAACGAGAGAGATACAGGGAGAGATGAGCGAGAGAGCCAGAGAGATAAAGAGAAGAGAGACAGAGAGATGAGAGATAGAGAGAAAAGAGATGAACGAGAGACACAGAGAGAGATAGAGAGATGAGAGATGAGCGAGAGAAAGAGACAGACAGACAGACAGAGAAGAGTGATGAATGAGAGAGAGAGAGAGAGAAGAGAGACAGAGACAAAAACAGAGACATAGAGAGAAAGAGAGAGACAGACAGACAGAGAAAAGTGATGAGTGATGAGTGTGAGAGAGAGAGAGAGAGAGAGAAGAGAGATAGAGACAGAGACACAGAGAGAAAGAGAGAGACTTACAGACAGAAAGAGAGAGAAAGAGTGATGAGTGAAAGTAAATTTTTATTTTTCATTCAGCGACTAAATTATTTTAGTTGCCAAAACTATATATACAACGACCAAAATATTTTTTAGTCGCTGAAATTAAATTTTTGCCGACCAAACTTTGGTCGCCAAAGATAAAAAACAAATTTTTATTTTTCATTCAACGACTAAATTATTTTAGTTGCCAAAATTATATATACAACGACAAAAATATTTTTTAGTCGCTGAAATTAAATTTTTGCCGACCAAACTTTTGGTCGCCAAAGATAAAAAATAAATTTTTATTTTTCATTCAGCGACTAAATTATTTTAGTTGCCAAAACTATCTATACAACGACTAAAATATTTTTTAGTCGCTGAAATTAAATTTCTGTCAATCAAAATTTTGGTCGCCAAAGATAAAAAGTAAATTTTT